GCAATTTTAATTATTCCAGGCTACTTCTAATAATTGTCTGCAGGATTTTGACATTCCAATGCATCTTGTTTCATAGGTTCATACCGTAGCTCTTGCCTGGAAGGTTCATACACGTGTATTGAATTCCATCAAAGCCTTTCAGTAGGGGCGCCTGGGTGGCTCAGTTGTCAAGCATCTGCCTTTGGCTTAGGTCATGATCCCAGGGTCCTGGGATTGAGCCACACATCGGGCTCCTGCTCAGCGGGAAGCCTGCTTCTCCCTCTCCCACTCCCCCTGCTTGTGTTCCCTCTCTCTCTGTCTCTCTCTCTGTCAAATAAATAAATAAATAAAATCTTTTAAAAATAAGCCTTTCAATAAGCAAAAACTAAGAATTTTGAGCAAAAATACTAAAATGTGGTTATTTGGTTTTTTTTTTTTTTAAGATTTTATTTATTTATTGACAGAGAGACACAGGAAAAGAGGGAACACAAGCAGGGGGAGTGGGAGAGGGAGAAGCAGGCTTCCCGCGGAGCAGGGAGCCCGATGCAGGGCTCGATCCCAGGACCCTGGGATCATGATCTGAGCCGAAGGCAGACGCTTAATGACTGAGCCACCCAGGCACCCCTAAAATGTGGTTCTTTGGATAATAGTTCACTAAGTGACTAGATTGAAGTCTGTTAATCATTTCCTCACAAACACAAGAAGAGTGAGAGAGAGTTAATATAATAAATCTAGGTTTAATTCTTGGTGCTTTGTAGTGACAGATTTTTTTTCCTCAATGTCACAAGAATGCTTAGAATTTTTGCTTTAGTTTCATTGTGTTTAGTGCAAGACTGTACTCATGTTACGTCAACTCCTTATCCATGATTTACTTGTGTATGAAGCCCCCAATCTTGTTTATGTTGCCCAAACATGGCTCGGAGAGACAGCTGTGACATTATGAATCCAGCTGGGCACAGATGGATCTTCAGTGAAGCATGAATCCATATTGGTTTGGTGATCTATGTTTACTGCCTTCTGTTAAACTTTCAGAGACTCAACTCCTAAATCACCTGGCACTGACTCCTTCCATGTACATATAAGTAATAGACTGAAGTGAACTGGAACTTTTGTTGCTAGTGAGCAAGACTGTTACCTGTAAGGGCAATATACTAGATTATGGTTTTATTGACTATTTAGCCCACGTTAGAATCTGATTAGTGTATGCCCACTTAGCAATGGTTTTCACTAGGTGCGATAGTCTTGATAGCTTTTCAGGCTGCTTTGATAATTATGAACATTTCCACGATCCTGTATATTGAAGTTTCCACACATCTGTTATGGATTTGACAGTTAAACTTGAGATCTCAAAAAATAAAAACTGAAGTTACAGCCTGTAAAGAAATTCATTTAGAATTTTTAAAGAAAATATCAGTGATTGATATTTACCTGGAAGGCTGATAGAACTGCAAGATTTTCTAGACCTACGCACAGTGAGAATAACAAGCTAAAGTATAAAACAAACAAAAGATGTATGAATAGTTGAAATAATTAGCTAAAACTCCAAACAAAACTAAAACGTTAATGGTGCCTCCTAGCAAATAACACTTAATTCTCAATCACTCCCCGAAACATTGGGTATGAAGCTTCACAACTTCACTTTTGTAGAGAGCAATGTGATATTCAAACTGATAAATGTATGCACACTCTGTCCTTTATAACCAGAACAGGAAATGTTGTTACTGTTAATGGGTATGCAAATCAATGAACTAGTATTTCCAAATTTTTGTGACAGGTTGCATATTTGTAATTCTGTATGTTTGTCTAAAGCAGCAAAAATTAGAATACTTACTACCTTTTATATATCACCCTTCACTTTTATATATACTAGTTATTTCATAAATTGTGCTATCTCATCTTCATTGTTACCATAGCATTCAGTACTCACCACATGCCCACAGTTCAGATCTTACTTTACCACTGTTTCTATGGTTTAATATACATAGATCTACCCATACCATATAGAAAAAAATATGAATAACTTGGTTTGCTTCCTTAATTCACACAGTAAGCAAATATTTATTGATAACATACTATATGCAGGCGGTGCTCTAAGTGCTGGGGAATCAACAGTGAAAAGAATGGCCACAGTAACTTTCTGTCCTTTGGAGCTTATTATCTAGTTTTAGACATTGTTTTTTCTCTTGATTTTCGATGGTATAACCCTGTTTCTTGACATCCTAGTAGTTTTTAAATGAATGATGGTTGTTATGTATAAAAGTGTGTAGGGGACCTAGATGTTATTTTATTCATCCCGAAAATGTTCACTCTTTCCTCTGTTAGATGGGAGGAATAGAAGCTGATCACCTTAATCCAGTCATGGAATGGAGTAGGTAAGGACTGATTCAGTTTCAGTAAGGACCCATCCATCTCTGGTATTCTCTAGCCTCCCATTGCTCTGTGTATTCTCTTGGGCCATTCCTTCTGGCAGGTTCTGAAATACAATAGTCTCCTCAATGTGGTGAAATTGCCAAACCTCTGCTGTGCTTTTCAGAGACTTTCTGCTTAGTCTCTTAGCCTACCCCCTGAACATAATTCATAATTTGGTAAATGTCTTGAAAGTAAACCCAGCTGTGTATCATGCCTCCTTCTGGGCCCCTCCAAGATGAGGATCTTGGTTCCTTAAGTTCCTAATGTTTGTCTCCCCAGCTCACTGAGACTCCTCCCTGCCCAGGCAAAGCCTAGATTCTCATCCTCTTGCCTTGCATGCAGAATCAGCAAATGTCCCCAGAGAAAATATAGCTAATGTTTCCACAATTCCCTCCAATCTTATAAATTGGTTTTTCTAGTTCTCATTGCTTAATCAGCTTTCAGGTTGTTTTAAGCAGATTTTATGTTTTATTTATATTTTTTAGTTGTTCTTGGCTGGATCATTAATCTCCTGCAAGCTTATCCATCTCATCCCTATTTTTAGATACTGAAATTAGAGAATGATGTCTTCTCTTAGACATACCTATATTATCACAAGGAAGGTACCCTGAAATTTCCACCCTAGCTCAATGTATTCTAGAACTAATTGGCAAAGTAGGCATGTAGGGATCTGTCATTGAACACATCCTTCAAAATAAGTGTTATTGAAAGAGCTGGACAATTATGAGAGCTGATACTCTAAAGTATGCTGAGTTCACTGCCCAAGAACTGTTCACCGGTAGTGCTACTGAAGGGACTAAGACCGAGCTGTCCAAGTTAACTTGTGGACTTTCACATGGAGGCTGCTTAGATTGGTGAACTCAGTGGGAGTCCAAGACTTGAGGGTGACTCTGACGAGCTGCAGCTTCTGCATACTACTCTTGGCTTCTGTTATGAATTATCCTCAAAGGAAATAAGTATGGATCTTCATTGTCTACTAAAATACTGGGGAATAGAGTAGATAGTCTTTGTGTTTTTTTTTTATATCTCACTAACCCTTGTAGGAAGAAGATATAGCATAGTGGTTAAGTGTCTGGATTTGGGAGTCAATCAAATTTAGATTCAAACCTTGTCCATTTCCTAGATGCTTGACCTTGAGAAAGTTGTAAAAACTCTCCAAAGCCTCAGTTCCATATCTGTGAAACAGGAATAATAACACATTTCATTGTGCTGGCATGGAAGCTGTTGGAGACACTGTATTTAAAGTGCTTATAATGGTCTCTGGAATATTGTAAGCCAGCAGCTTAGTTATTTTGGTTATTATGGAAACCTATGGAATAGAGACTCAGAATTTTGAGGTGAGATCTTAAGATTTTTATAAAGATTTTCTAAGGTAGGTGAATGAAGGATGTGGAAAAAAAGTGCTTTTAAGAATTCATATGTTTATTTTTGTTAAGTAAAACTATTTAAATATTTGTTTATTTTATGGATAACAAAACTATAAGAAAGAACTCCAGGAAAAGAAACAACTGAATTGGAGATGATTTACCTCTCAATGACTTAAAAAAATTATTTCTTTGTAGTTTCACTAAATAACAAACGTATCATTTTCTACTGTGTTTTGTTTTAAAGTTAATCTAAGAAGAATCAAGGTTAACTAATATTCTAAATTGTACAGGTGTTATCATGTTGAAGAAAAGGAACAAAATTTAAAGTAAAAAAAAATCTGAGTAAAAAAAAAAAACTTGAGAGGGAGAGAGAGAAAGAGAGAGAGAGAGAAATTTGATTCCTAATTACCATTCATTAGTTGTGTGGTATTGATTGGGCAAGTTAAATGATCTCCCTGTGTCCCAGTTTTCCTGGAGAAATTGTACAATGGGAAAATAATTCTTAGATTTTCTTGAATATCAAATGAGGAAAAGGAAATAAAAATTACATGCAATAAGCATAGTCTTGTTACTTGTATTTAATGATCAGTTGTGCCTTTGAATCTCTCTTTGGACCATGAAGAACATGAATTGGTGTTATAGGAAGCAGAAGAATTTGTGATACAAAAAGAGATGAAATTAAATCTGGTTACTGTTATTTAAGTAATAATTTAAACCACATGTATTTGAATCAAATTTTATGTTTCTTTATTCTGTGGAAATTTTCTGAAATGGACATTTTTTGACCATTATTCAGGTATGATATTGTATCCAAAGCCTAGACCCAGTACCTCTTCAATAGTTCTGAGTCAACAGAACTGAAGGAAAAGCGAGCTTTTCTCTTCCTTTTCAAGTTACTCTAATTCAGGAATTGTTTCCACACTCTGCATACCTGAGTGAGCATGAAATGATGCCTTTACTGAGTATTTCTGTTTGATTTTTCAAAAACTGTTGTCAGTCTTACAGCTTGAAAATGAAATGCACATGGTAATTGGTAGAGCCACAGTCAGTCTTCAAATCTAATTGGAACTGACCCAGACACCCTCAGAAGTCTTCCTAGCCTTTCAGATCTGTAAGCACATGTGATGAGACAAAGGCAGGAGAGCTTGTTGAAAGGGAGGGAAGTCCCTTTGCGTGTTGCTGAACCAGAACGCTTTGATATGGCTCTCTCAGTATGGACAATGTCTTGTGTGTTTGTTTCCACAGAGCATATATCATTACAGACTATATGGGCATCCGAAATGAAAGTTTCATGAAATTAGCTGCGGTAGGGACCTGGATGGGGGACTTTGTCACAGCCTGGATGGTAAGAAATTTTAACTTCACCCATTTCAAACATTAGATGGAGGAAAACTTTCATAATGTTGGATAGACACTACTTTTGAAGGGTTTAGAGCAAGAGAGTTACTTCTCTCTTGAGTGGAACAAATTCATGAATACAGATAAATTTAGAGATTGTATGCAATATCTGTTTACCTTAGGGGAAAAATTAATGCAACTATAATATGAATGAATGATGGCTGTCCACCAGGAAATATTTATTTATAACATATATACCTATCTATCTGTATATGTATGAGTATACAAACATACATTCATAACATTAATAGAAACTTCCTTGTGAAGTTCTAAATAATTTTGTGAAGATTATTGTTTTTGACATGTGCAGTTTTCAGGTAAGGAATGTTGTCTGGCCTGTCTCAGAAGACCATATGAAATATTTTTAACAACTGTTTTTTATTTAAAAATTTTTTTTCACAACACATCTTATAATATTTTATTAATTTATTTTAATTTAATTTAATTTAATTTTTTATTTGAGTATAGTTGACACCCAATTTACATTAGTTTCAGGTGTACAACATAATGAATCAGCATCTTTGTACGTTATGCTATGCTCACCACAAGTGTAGTTAGGGCTCTTAAAATAGTTTTCTACATTTATTTTCCTCATTGAACCTATAAAATTAATGTTGCATTATTAGTTATTATTATTATAAGCCTGCAACAAACAGACAAACCATATTTCATGCTGAGTTCATCTGTCAAGAGAGTAACTTCTTTTTTCATTTTTTGTTTTCATTAAAATTTTTTTGGGGGGCGCCTGGGTGGGCTCAGTCAGTTAAGCATCTGCCTTTAGCTCAGGTCATGATCCCAGGGTCCTGGGATTGAGTCCCACATCAGACTCCCTGCTCAGTGGGGAGCCTGCTTCTCCCTCTCCCACTCCCCCTGCTTGTGCTCTCTCTCTCTGTGTCAAATAAATAAAATCTTTAATTTTTTTTTTATTCAGGTATAGTTAACATACAGTGTTATATTAGTTTCAGGCATACAATATAGGGATTCCACAATTTCATACATTTCTCAGTGCTCATCAGGATAAATGTACTCTTAATCTCTTTTGTCTGTTTCACCCATCCCCCACCCACCTCCCCTCTGGCAACCACCGTTTTGTTCTCTGTATTTAAGAGTCTGTTTTTTTGTTTGTCTCTTTTGTTTGCTTTTGTTTGTTTATTTTGTTTCAAGTTTTTATTTAAATTCTAGTTAGTTAACATATAGTGTAATATTAGTTTCAGGAATAGAATTTAGTGGTTCATCACTTACATATAATACCCAGTGCTCATCACAAGTGCCATCCTTAATACCCATCACCCATTTAGCCCATCCCCCCACCCGTGTCCCCTCCATCAACCTTCAGTTTGTTCTCTGTATTTAAGAGTCTGGGTTTTTGTTTGTCTCTCTTTGTTTGTTTGTTTTGTTTGTTAAATTACACATATGAGTGAAATCATATGACATTTGTCTTTGTCTCACTTATTTTGCTTAGCATATACCCTCTAGGTCCATCCATGTTTTTGCAAATGACAAGATTTCATTCTTTTTTATGGCTGAGTAATATCCCATTATATATATATATACCACATCTTCTTTACCCCCCAAAAAACCAAAACAGTAATTCAAAAAGACTTTTGCTCCTCTTTGTTTATTGCAAGATTATTTACAATAGCCAAGATATGGGAGCAACCCAATTGTCCATTGATAGATGAGTACCTCTGTTTTAACCATTGGATTAATTAAGTACAGTATGTAGCTGGAAAGCTCTAGGTCCTATAAGTTTATAAGAGAATCTCAGAGTACAAAGAGCATAACTCTCATAAAAATGAAACCTGTTAATCTTTGTTGATACCTCTCATAAGTGCAGTTAATCGTAATTGGCTTTATTCATCCATTCACTTGTAAACGAGAAGACCTACCAAAGGAAAGGATGCCCTACCTAAACAAGACTAGGCAGGGACATGCCCCTACAAATGTGTTCCAAATACTGCAGGTAGATTGTCACAACAGTTACTGCCCTTTCTATGGAGAGCTTTGTGTCTTACCTAGAACAAGTATTTTCGGGGGACAGGAAACAGTTATATCTTAACTGGTACTACTGTGATCATCCTGCAAGAGTATTAAGTAACTACCAAAGGGTTTGTGTAGCCCATTTTTAGCCTCGTCCCACCCCTGTTCAATTTTAGAATGTTAATAGAACAAAGTACCAAATGCATCCCATTCCATTAACTTTAAAATCTAGATTTGAGAAGTGATTTATTTGTAATCACTAGATATGACAATTAGAATAAGCCAAACATCAGGGTGCATGGCTGACTCACTTGGTTATGCATGTGACTTTTGATCTCAGGGTTGTGAGTTCAAGCCCCATGCTGGGTACAGAGCTTACTTAAAAAATAAGAAAATTCTAAAAAAATAAAATAAGCCAGACATTAAGACCAGGCTGCCTCATGTCAAAAATTTCTATTTCCATTGGGAAAAACTATTTAGAAGGAGAACCAAACAGAAAATAATTTCTCTTCTAAAACTATTTCCCTTTTAGGAGGAAAAATAGAAGGAAGACTTTAAACATGTAATTTCCATGAAATATGAGGTGATACCTTTTGAAAAATTTCTGCATTAACTATGGATTGTGATTTTTTTTTTTTACTCCATTTCATGGTGAATCTGCTTAATAAAATGGAAAAAGGAATTCAGAAATTTGGATTCTCTGACCTTGCTGTGTCTGGCATGATCTTCCACGAATAATATGCAATCCTCTGAGCCTCGGTTTGCACATTTCTTTAAAGGGGCTAATAGTTGCTATTCGTGTTATAGGTTTTCTATGAAGATGAAGTGTGTGGTCCTGTGATGGGACTTCAAATGCTGCAGTGCGAGGGAGACATAAGTGCTTTATTGCAGCTGTTTATGTTCTTCCCAGCTTATCTCAGGCTTGTGGTCTGGGGTGCCTGAAGTTTCCTTCTGGTTGGCAGTGCTAGAATACACTCTAAGGCAGTGTGGTCCATTACTTCCTGAATCACATGCGACACTGCCCCTGATCAGAGTCGGGAGAAGCACCAGAGCACATCACCAGAACAGCAAGCCCGAGGACCTTACTCTGCAGTTTTCAGGCTCAAGTCCACCATTTGATACAGAAATCATTTTCTTTCCCATGATGACATCATTATTTTTTGTGGCCCAATTCTAAGCCCTTCCCAGAGTTTCCCTCAAGACAGTGTTTCCGAGACCATATGTGACTCTGCCCCTATTTACTGGTTCTATTTTTTAATTAAGATTTTTTTTTCTTTTGAATCATAATGTAGGGTCCAATTTCTAGGGCAGCCCTGAGAGGCGAATGTATGGGGCAGCTTTGACCGAAGACCTTTACCTTTTCTAGCTAGATTTCTACTGTGCACTCATCTGCCCTACTCTTGTGGTTTAGCAGAATACACATAATTCCACAGTGCAGCTGTGGTCTTTCTGTCTCTCTGAGGTCTGGCTGACCTTCACAGTTTCTCCTGAATTTGCTACTGTAATGCCTTCTATTTTTACTAGCTAACCTGATAACTTTTTACCTTTGTCAATGCTGCTGATTACTACTATGATCAATACTTCCAATACCACCGAGGTAGGACTGGATTGAGAATCAAGAAAACTGTGTTTTAGGTTTAACCCAGCAGTGTGATCTTAAGTCACTTCTCCTTCTGGGGCCTCACATGTTTTCCTTTCTGTAAACGGAGAGAGAATCCAAAGTCCTTTTTTGCTTATGTTACATGAAATGTTGACCTTTCCCTGTTAGACACAGAGACAGAAATGGCAAAAGAAACAGAGTGCCCTCCTGATTTAAAAGTACAGTCACACAGGGAGGCTTCCCAGAGCACATCATTTCTATTCCCATTTTTATTCACTGACTAGGTGGTAAGTTTCCATATAAATATTTATATGTCTACATATGTGTGCAATGATAACATTTTAAAAAATAATAGTTTTCCTCATGAGAGGAGTCTAAGGAGCTTTGACCTTCATTTGTCTATAGAATTCTCATCATGAAGTGAATATCAATGATGAAGGTGACTGTCATGGAAAAGTAAGTGACTATTTACATTTCCAATAAAAGTGTGCCTTTTAATGTATTTCTGAAATGGAGAATTTTTCTTTTATGGAAATAATTCAAAACTTCCCCATGGTTTTAAAAGGCACACCGGGACTGATGCAATCCCCAGGCATGGCTGATTTCAACCGATCGGACAACTGTCTTTGCTCCTCACACTACAGAGCATCAAGCTCTACTAGGTTCAATTTCCGAGGCAATCCTGACTATTCTTAGCTCTGTGGGATGCTTCATGCAGAGGACAAAAAAATATATTAAGTCAAGGTTAAAGTTACTATTTTTTTGTCAAATAGATTTTTAAAAAATTTAATATAAAAGAAATACCTAAAGTGATGGGTGTTGTCATTCAGCACTGAGCTGGCTGTTCATGTTGATAGGAGCAGAGAAGAGCTCTGTCATGAAATTTGCCCACACTCTGCCGTTGAGCGAGGAGCAGAGGGGTGTTGGCCCATCCTATAGCACATGTCTCTAGTTTCACTGACCTTCCTTCAGAAGACAAAGATCACAGGCTCTCCTCGGGTCTAAGGTGGCAGGGGATGCTGAGGACAAAGATGGCATTTGCTTCTGCCCCTCATTTAATACCAGAAGGAAAAATCACTTCCTGTCTCTCTGTACCTACCATCTGTTTTCCCCAGCCCCTACTTGGTCCTGCTCTAGTGGCTTTTCTAGCAGTAAATGGTTATCTGGCTTATGATAGTGATAGGGACATCAGAGTCCAGGTTTGAAGTTCATGGTTGCGGGAAGGGGAGAGAAGGGTGCACATGAAGTGAAGTCAAGGCCTGACCTAAAGAAGATAATGACATGGTAAAGACTGAAGGCATAAAGCATTTTTCATCATAACACCATATATGGTGTGTATCAAATCCTAATACTCATAGGACCTTGGT